CCTTCTGGTTAGCAGTCAAATACTTTAGGCACTATGCCACCAGAGCTCCCAAGAAATTACAAGAGACCTCCACAAATGGAAGAGCATTCCATGTTCATGGATAAGAAGACTGAATATGGTGAAAATGTCAAGACTACCCAAAGTAAGCTGTACATTTAATGCAATCCTGATCCAGATTCCATCAGCATTCTTTTAAAACATGGAAAAAAAAACAATCATTAGCTTTATATGGAAAGGAAAGAGAGCTTGGATAAGCAAAGCACTACTGAAGAAGAAAAACAAAATAGGCGGTCCCACACTTCTCAATCTCAAAACCTACTATACAGCCACAGTAGTCAAAACAGTGAAGTATTTGTAAAATGACTGATAGACAAAATATACCAGTGGAGCAGAATTGAAAATCCAGAAATACACCCCTCCGTCTATGGACAGGTGATCTTTGACAAAGGGCTGAAAACCATTAAATTGGGGAGAGAAAGCCTCTTTAAGAAAAACAAAAAAACGAACTCACTGATGTTGAGTCAGATCTGACTCATAGCCACCCCTCCTTGGGTTTCTGAGGTGGTATCACTATGAAAGTAGATTATCCAACCTTCCTTCTGAGGAGTGGCTGGTGGCCTTCTGGTTAGCAGTCAAATGTTTTAGGCACTGGAAAAATTGGATATCCATATGCAGAAAAATGAAACAAGACCCATACTTCACATCATACACAAAAATGAACTCAAGATGGATCAAAGACCTAAATGTAAAACCCAAAACCTTAAAGGACATCAAAGATAAAATAAGGATAAACCTAGGGGTCCTAATTTATGCCATAAACAGACTATCAAGCATAACCCAAATTGCACAAGCAGCAGAAGAGAAACTAAATGACAGGCACCTTTTAAAAATTATAATCTTATGCACATCTAAAGACTTCTCCAAAAGAGCAAAAAGAGAACTTACAGATTTGGAAAAAAAAAAAAAATTGGCTACAACATATCTGCAAAGGACTTATCTCAAAAATTTACAGAAAACCTCAACACCTCATCATCAGAAAGACACTCCAATTCAAAACTGGGCAAAGGACATGAACAGACACTTCACTAAAGAAGATATACAGGTAGCCAACAAACACATGAGGAAATGTTCCTGATCATTAGCCATTAGAGAGATGTGAATCAAAACAACAATGAGATATCATCTCACCTCAGCAGTAACAGCAAAGTTCAACAAGGCAGAAAAAAACAAATGCCGGCAAGGGTGTAGAGGATTGGAACTCTCATACACTGTTGGTAGGACTGTAAAATGGTACAGCAACTATGTAAAATGGTATGGTGTTTTCTTAAAAAGTTGGAAATAGAAATACCATTTTATCCAGCAATTCTACTACAAGGAATATATCCTAAAGAGGTAAGATCCAGAACACAAAATAGAATATGCATACCCATGTTCATCACAGTGTTATTCACTATAGCAAAGAGATGGAAACAACCTAAATGCCCATCAACAGATGAATGGATAAACTATGGTACATTCACACAATGGCATACTATGCAACATTAAAGAATAATAACATTAAAGAAGAATCTGTGAATCACCTCATAGCATGGATGAACTTGGAGAACATTGTGCTGAGTGAAATAAGCCAAACATAGAAGGAAAAATATTATATGAGTCCATTATTATAAAAAGTCAAGGAAAGCTTTACCTTGGTGGTTACAGGGATGGGAGAGAAGGGGAGGGAAAATTTTTAACTAGTTAAGAGTCATGTGTTAATTTGGGTGAAGGGAAATGCAATATAACAACAGTGTGTGACCAGCACAATAATAATAGGGAAACACAGAGGTGCAAAAAAAGTATAGACAACAGAGGCAAATACTATTACATATACAATACTGCATTAGCAGTAACAATAAACACTAGCCTATGGGTATATATATAAACAGGTGAGAAGATCAGGTGTGGGTAGGCAAATGGGAATGTATCCGTGACCATAGATAGATTTGGCTGATGGCATGCCTACATGTGTATTTATGCTTCAAAAATACCCATATATATTACAGAACTAACAGGGGGCAAGGTTGGAATCACTTCTCAGCGACAACCAAGCACCTTGAGTGAGTGAGTCACCAGGCCTGTGGGCACATGGCCATGGTCTCAACTAGCACAACATAGAACATGAACATATTGCTCTACATCCTACTTTGGAGAGTAGCGACAGGTGTCTTAAAAGCTTTCAAGCAACCATGTAAGATACAACTATTGGTATCCCTCATCTGGAGCAAAGAAGAATGAAGAAAATCAAAGTCTTATGGAAACAATTAGTCCAAGGGACTAATGAACAGACCACAGGAATTTTAGCCTCCATGATCCTGAGACTGGATGGTACCCAGCTACCAATGCCAATCACTTGGAAAGGGGTCAAAATTGGACACCCTGGCGAGTTGGAGGAAAAAGGTGGAATAAAATTCAAAAACACAAAAATGAACAGAAATAGTGATTGGATAGAGACTAGTGAAACCCCCAACACTATGGCCCTGGGTTATGCTTCAGGCCTGGGACTGGACTCACTTCCATGGATCAGCTCTCAGCCAAACAGTAGAAAGGCCTACAAGCAGAACACCTACCCTTGGGAGATGCACTCACCTACCCCAGGGAGATGCACCTCTTAGATCAATCAGCCATGAAAGATCAGAAGGGCAGCATTTGCATAAGGGGAAAGCTGGATAGACAGGAATGCATAGATAAGAAAGACACATGAAAGGGGTGATCACAAGGAGGAGATGGGAGGAGAGTTGTTTATTGTTGGGATTGTAATTGGTGCTGTGAAACAAAAACAAATCTGTTTTGTAAATTTCCACCCAAATCACAATAAAAAAAAATTTTTAACAAAATATGTGCTGTAAATCTTAACTCCTATACCTGTGTTAATAATCTCATTTGGGAATGTATTTTCTTTGCTATGTTGATGAGGTAGTACTCACGTAGAGTGTCTCAAACCAATCTCTTTTGAGATATAAAAGGGCAGATTAAACAATCAAGCGAAGATGGGGTAAGACAGATGCCAAGACATATGAAGATCAACAAAGAATCAAAAAACAGAAGCTGAAAAGACAAGGATCTGCCCTACAGAGTTGACAGAAAGAGAAAGCCTTTCCCTAGAGCTAGTGCCCTGAATTTTGACTTCTAGCCTCCTAAATTGTGAGAAAATAAATTTCTGTTTGTTGAAGCATCCACTTGTGGTAATTCTGTTATTGTAGCCCTACATAACTAAGACAACAGATTTTTAAAGAACTTGGAGGGGAGTGGTTTAGGGTGGCTGTGCAAAGGAGGTAAAGATGTAAACTCAGGGCAGCAATTAGGTCTTTTAGGGTTTGTATTCCATAGGCAGCAGATACCAAACACAGAATAATCACCCAGATAGTGAGTGTCAGGAGGTATTGGTCATTCAGTGGTATAATTATCACCTTGCCTGAGGGAGATCTGGGTTTGATTCCTGGCCAGTGAACCTTATGTGCAGTCACCTCTCATCTGTCAGTGGAGGCTTGGGTGCTGCTATGATGATGAACTAGCCTGCCTTAGTCTGGACGCTCTCCTTCATCAGCAAATGAAAATTCTATGGATCACAACGATCTGTACCACAACAAACTTTGGGGATTGCTTGAACAATTTCTCTCAGAATGATCAGCACAAGGCTGTTCCCCATGAGGCGGAGGTTAAAGATGTCCCAAATGTCCAAACTACTGTGCTACTCCATAATTTCAGACATTAACTCCTCCTCCTCCTCCCAGTAATTTCCCCTGTCTTAGGGTTATATATTTCACTGCAATACAGACACCCAAGGGATCATCTCACGTAGTAGTGGTGGAGGCTGGTAGGCTGGTGAGTCCCAGGTCCGTGAGTAGGTATGGAGGATCCTCCCAATTCTTGGGGTTTGATGAACCTCGATCAGCAGCTCAGATGATGGCTGCTGTCCCAAATCCAGGGGTGAGATGAAGATGAGCCAAAACACAAAAACGGAGCAAGAGGAGGGCATACCTTCCCAGGAGATTCGTAGGCATTCCCTCAAGGAAGCTAACAGTGGTGATCTGAATTATACCCTTCAGCAAGGCAGGACTCAAGATACATTTCACCTGTGTTGCTCCAACAGAAATAACTTAAGTGGATGGTTTTAACAATCAGCAGCTGAAGGCAAATCCCACCACAGAGAGGATTGCTAGTCATTATAGGGAATGACTACGACCAGCGACCCAGCCAAGTTGATACCTGACCTTAACTACCACACCACCCCAAACAGGATAATAGGATTTACAAAACATCAAAGAATGGAGGACAATGGCTAGAAAGGCCATATCAAGCAATTCACCACAGGGATGGTGCAGGACTGGGCACCATTCTGTTCTATTGTGCATGGCATCCTCGTGAGTGACAAGCCAATCCTTTGGCCCCTAACAACTGTATGTCAACTTGGTATACTGGGAGAATTTTTAAAAAAAGAAAATTTTTACCAATTATGTGATACTCGACAGCTCCATTATTGCCAGCATCCCTATCAAAGGCCAAAACAGTATAGACGACCTCTGGCTCTCGGTTTTCTGGAACCTCAATGTTATGCCAGGAGACAATAAACTCCGGTGCATGATCGTTTTCATCTTCGACAGTGCAGAGAACTGTTGCAGTGCTGGACAACGAAGGGATGCCCCCATCTCGCACAAGCACTGTTGTGGAAACAAAGATGGCATGGATTGTGGCCATTAATTTATTCCTAAAATACATTTTTCTAACTATGTATCATCAGACTAATCAGGCAGCACTGGCTCAGTAATATTTTTCACCCTACTGAAATGCGGAAATTCACCACCCACATCTCCGGCTGCCTTCTCCTTCTTCTTCTTTTTTTTTTTTAAGTATGGTCAAGGGATTCCTTACCTCTGAGGGTGAAGACTTCCTGAACTTCTCTGTCAAGCGCAGTGGTTGTCACTACCTCTCCTGTATCAGGATTGATCTTGAAAAACCCAAATGAAGCACCCGGCATGATTTCAAACTGAAGCTTGGAATTGATTCCTTTAGGGAAATAAAAGAAAAAGAAAAAAACTTAGCAATTATCCCTTTGGAATTCCTTAGTTCTGTTTTCCTATTCCTTTCACTATGAAAGTGCTAGGATGTCAATGAGAAAGACAAACTCCTAAACAGCCTTCAAATTAAGGTTAAGACACACACACACACACACATACACACAGATACACACGCACTCACACACACCAACAACTTTTTTGGTTGTGGCTGCTAAATAAAAGCCTCCTGGGAAGAAATGGTTGATTTTTAAAAGTTTTATGAGACTTCCCCACAGTGAATACTTAAGATTTTTTCCCTCCCATAAAAAACTTCTTATGAGTATTCAACTCTACAACATATTCCTAATTACTCCTTATAACACCCCTGATTGTAAATTAATAACATAATTGTAACCTTGCAGGGCAAACAACAATTTCGCAGACTAACCTATTTAAAAGCTCATGCTCAGTTACAGTATTCTGTTTGTGCTCAACCTCAGGAGGCTCGCACATAGAGTTGCTTGTATGAGTACTCTTGTTTCACTTTGTGTCACACTTTGCATTCAGCAACAATTGTGAGGATAGGTCAGGATCAGGCAATGTTTCATTCTGTTGTCCATAGGGTTGCTATGAGTCAGAACCAACTCGATGGTACCTAACAATAACATACAGTCTCCATTCTGGAGTGAGAAATGTGATACCATATTACTATGCATTTCCAAACTAATTCTTCCCATATTTTGTGGTTTCATTTTTCCCCTGAGAAAAGTATCACATCGTTTCCAGAACTGGTTATGAAAATCATTCACACCATTAGCTTAACTGAGTTTATCCCATGCCATTGCAGTTTATTTACATTTTACACAAGTTCCTTTCAGCCATTTTCCTATGTTCTTTTCTTAACTGAC